CATGAGGCCAGTATTGTCCCGGTTGCTCGTCAGATCGATGATAACGACAAATCAGTTGCTGTGAGAGCCACTCTGATAATCGCGCTGTTCTCAAGTACTTGTGAAAATTATAGTGAATTCATTGACTGCAGTCTTCTTGTCGGTGTTCTCTGCCATGCTTCATCCATTCCTGCCAACACCTTCATCCATTCCTTCCCATTATTCCTGCCAACACACATCCCCCAAGTGTCAAGCGATCCTTCTGTCTGACCACTCATCTTGCCGATTACATAACCTCCTTCAATTGATGATACAGTGCGTGAACCCGTTTGCGATGCACCGGTACAATTGAAGTGCGTAGAAGGACCCAAATTCGATTGAAAGTTATGTCCTAGTGTTAGAATTTCTGCCCTCTTATACAACTTCTGAATGTTCAGTTTCGAAGTTCTGTAGCTCACGCTATCCCTTTATTGGCCATCAAAATTTAATCATTTCGGTGTTGGATCAAAATGTATTCACATACGAGATTTCGTTACAATCAGGTAACTTCTTATTAGTGCATTTTTCCCTTGTTTCCGTCACATTTAGAGTATTTTTAAGGGGAAACGTTGAATAGTTAAACCATTATTGATTCATTAATGAATTCCAAACATTCATGACTTAGTCGACTTTCATAAAACATTTTACTTAAGAATCTGAAATTTTCGTTATGTGCCATATAAGTTAGCAGACTAAATACATTGCCAAGTGTGAGATTAATGTTTTGTCATGTAAGCATATGCAAAAGTCAGTAACTAAATGTGGATATTTCAGATATATTGAGCTCTCTATTTCTGCATCTTTAACTATCAGAATACCTTTTTCCTTAAACAAAATAAAATTAACCTTTAAAGTGCATATTAATTTTTTCGCTTTTTAAATAATGTGAAAAAGATAACAGAGTGTAGTATATATTTTAAGCTACTAAATTTATTTAACGACATGTAGACAGCCCTCAAATCTTCAAATTTATCATCGTAAAAACAAAACCAAATTCATGTGTTTATTTTTTGAATCTACATAAAAAAATACTTATCTCATTGTTTTATCTTAGTTGAAATATAGATGCTTTGTGCAATTTAGGCAAGTAAAAAGTAATTTCATTGGTTAAATTTGCTGGTTTTAATTCCATAATTATAGTCCATGGAAATAAGTACATATTGTTACGTTTTTCTTCTTTTCTGCTGACACTAGTTGTTACGTTATTTTCTTCCTTCACATTCGTACGGGGTTTGTAGATTTGGAGTGAATAACGACGACACTTGATGAAGTATCGAAACACACTTTATTGGCCAGTATTGTCAGGACAGCTCCAAAGTCACTTTTACAGTCGTCGTAATAAACACTCGCTGGAATAATCAGCGACACAGCCTTCAGGTTATCAGGCTATCACGGTGGAGACAGCTTCCTGCAAAGCACCCGACTCTGCTTTCCGGAGTACAGCTCTCGACTCTGCTTGGTCGTTCGGCACTCGTTACCCGACTCGGCACTCGTTACCCGGCTGTCAACTCGATCGACTCCGCACGGCTCGCTAGACGAGGCACACTCTCTGAGACACACTAACTGACTGCGGACCAGCAGGGCTTATATAGCTTTCGGCTTGTGTTCGAGAACATTCTGGACTAAACCGGTAAGAATTCGTTCCAGAAGGTTCTCCATCCGTCCATGGTATATCGCCAATTTTGTCGCCAAATGAGCGATTTCTTGCCAAATGTGGCAATCCTGCCTGCTTTGCCATTTTATGGCAACCCTAAAACTGCTTTGCGGGGAAGCCATCTTACCGCGCCTATACATTTCGTAACACTGCCCCCCCCAAGGACTGCACGTCCCGGGCAGTACAACCCTTGGTCAGAAGCATAATTCGATACAAACAAATAACGTAATTAAAGAAGCAAATATTTACACTATATACAAATTATATACACAAATTAGATACATAACAATTTTAAATTATGTACATTAAAGTTCAGAATGAATTGCAGTCTCAGTCTTTTCATGATTTATAGCCGGGTCAAATACTTTTCCACTGTAGTCCTCAGATACATTTCTGTTTTTCATGTTACAGTCTGAAGATTCTGTCCTTTCAGACTTTTCATCCATTGGAAGATTTAAAACAGTTCGCTCACCATTATCTGGTTTATTTGCATCATGTATACAATTCCCCTCGGTATTTTCAGCAGCTGGTACATGCATATTTTCCTCCGTTTCCTGAGAACCAGCTCCAAATTCTGCATCAGAGTCATGAACGGAACCCGATACTTTAAAAACGCAGTATCCTGGTCTAAAATCAAAATCAAGTCCTTGTCTGCAAAACCTGCACTATGAGACGCACACATAGTTTGCAAAGTGGGTGGATTTTCTCGCAATACTGGAGCACACTGCTGAAGCTGCACATCAACTTCTGTCATCTCTGCATCACATGCATTTTCAGATGGTTCAGTATTCGCGAACTGCGACTTCATAACTTCACTATCAATTTCGACGAACTTAACAATCGCATTTTCACTTTCTTCCACTTCAGGCACTTGAGAATAAAAATCTACTTTCTCGTCTTTTATTTCTTTATGTTTTCGTTCTTTATCTTTAATCCCGTTAGTTGTTTCATCTTTTATTTCTTGATCTTCCTCAGACAGTTCATTAGCTACTTTCTTCATTTCTTCATCCTTTGATTCTTCAGAAGCCACTTCTCTCATTTCCACATCGTCTTTTATGGCTCTAGTTTCTTCTGTAAGCTCCTCTTTCAGCTGTCGGAGTTGCTCTCGCACCTTTTCTTGGCAGACATTTAATTCTTCTCGTCGGGCGTTCCTCTCTTCCAGTGTAGCTTTCATCTCCTTCAGTCCGGCTTTCAACTCAGCCTTGATCTCTTGATATCCGGCTTTCATTTCAGCTCTCCTCTCTTGATATTCGGCTTTCATTTCAGCTCTCCTCTCTTGATATCCGGCTTTTATCTCAGCCCTCATCTCGCCTAAGAAGTCCGTCAAAGTTTTAGTTATATCTCCAATTATGTCGCCAAATGGGCGATTTATTGCCAAATGTGGCAACCCTGCCTTCCCTTTGCCATTTTATGGTAACCCTAAAACTGCTTTGCGGGGAAGCCGTCTTACCGCGCCTGTAGATTTTCTAACAATATTGTATTTTTATTTGCATGAGCCTTATCAAACAAAAGTCACCATAAGCGAAAAAATGAAATTCTGGCACTTCCATTATAGTAAACACGTATGTATTTAGTCGACAGGGGGGGGACACTTAATCATCCAAATGAGCTGTGATCCTAGTTAAGTCCGAATATTTGAAATATTTTCCTTGTGAGAGTTTTGTGACTGTGTCATTATATAACCATACTCTCTATTAGCCTCCACTTATGCCCGATTTTGTAACATCTGTTTTAAAATTTTTGCGCCGGTAAGCCTTGCACGCGATTATCTATGGTTACCAGGACTGTTTATGGTTTATTTTTTGTATTAAATCAGCCTCCATCCATACCAAATTTCATTAAAATTTTCCCACCAGTTCTGGAAATAATCGATCAAATGTGGATATTATCTTAACTTTGAAAATCAAGTTATTCTTTTGTTAAGAATCCAGCTTTTCTCAGGCAGGATTTGTAATTGAAAATCAATGCAGTTATATCTCGTTTTATAGGGATTCGATGATACTGCTTGTATTTGTTTGTTTATTTGTTTTGAAAACAAAAGGGTATAAGGAGTCTTCCAACGACAATAGTTGATCGGCGCCATTTTGCAAACCCATTTGCTTTTTCTGCTTCCCTTTGATACCCTTTGATACATGACAACTATTCTTATAATATACTTCAAGTTTTTCATTATAAGTAGTTCATAGAAATTAAACAAAATAGGAACCACACTCTAATCTCTAAGCTTTTAGTGGATAATATTGAATTTGAAACTTCCAGAGATGATTTTTTTCAATTTTTGTGATGCATTAAAAATGTCAGTTTCATGAACTAACATTGTGAACGTTTTATAGAACATTACGATATTTCTTTAAATTTCAAAAGTTAATAATACCAAATCTGTTCTCCATATTTCGGAAATATTAAATTCAGATTAGGAATTTTAATCATTGTACAGCTGCATCTAAGCATTCAAGTGTAAAAAATACTTGCCTGTGTCTAATTTTGAATTAAAATCGTGAAATGATAAATCTTAGACAGTAAAACTCTAATCAGACCTAGTGACATCAAACGCAGTAATTAACCCTTCAAAGAAACACGCGTGTCCCCTAGAAGGATAAAGGGAAGAAGAAGTATACTATACAAATACTTGACCTTCCTTTGGTTGGTTGACCTACGCGAAACAGATTAGCCAGAGTAGTTTTTTCCCAGCATCGTAAAATATTACGGGTTAGTATGAGATACGTATCGTTGAACGGAACTTTTTCTACAATCAAAGCTTTGGCTACAAATCTACCGTTCAAACTAGTTCTGGGAGGAACGCTTTTCTCGGAAAAGATCTTAGATTGTTTACTGCGTTTGTAGGTCTGATAAGGCCATAATATGTATAAATCGACAGACAGAGATCGAACACAAGGTTTAAAATATTTAGCACAGTTATGAATTCACAAAAAATGTTTTGAAGAAAATTAATAGCCAATTGATTACTAAACAATAAGAAGGCGAAAAAAATCTTACTGCTTGATGAGCAATATTTATAATATATAGTTACAACATAATTTGTTTTCACTGACAAACCAAAATTTCATGTAATGCAATTTTAATGTGATATTCTCTTACTGTGCTTTATTGAAACCGAGCTTGCACTATTTCGATGTTTGCCTATATATCTTCTTATTTCGTCTTATAAAACTTGAACATAATATTATTTTACTTAAAATATTTGATTTCATCTCTATAATCTGTTGTCAATATCTTTTCACTCACTTTTGTTCTTCGCATTGCATAGTTAAGCTCAGTAATGCTTAATTAATTATTATAAATGCTACATGTTAACTATTTTCCGCAGAGGACATATATGATGCAGAATCTGCAAGTCATCATAAAGCAGATGATAGAAATGGAAAAGAGGGCTCTTGTAGAAATCTCGATTATCCACCTGGAATCCAAGACATAAAAATATCGCGTCGTCAGCTCCTCTATAAATTAGAAACAGCGAATATGAACGGTTCTGATGATGAAGAAAATGATGTAGAGTCGAGAGCAAAAGCAGAATTTTCTAACACAAAAAACGGAGCGTCAAATAGATCCGTCAAAGAGGATTATGAGCCGGATGATGATGATGATGGGGTGCCATCACATGTCGGTAAGTACTTTTCAGTAAAAATAAATGCACATAGTAACTTTATTTGGCATAAATTCATTATTTCTATATAGGAAGCCAAGATTCTTTTCTCGTTGGAAAATATGGATGTGTTTTAAAGAAGAGAAAAGTGTACAAATGTCTCTCAGTTCTATTTTCACATAGGAATCAAAATCGAAAAAGCAGCTGTATTTCTGTGCAATAAACAAAATTGCCAACCTAAAGCTCTATATGCAATACACGACCTAGAATAAGCAAACGTGCATAAACTGATGTCATACTTATATTGAACATCATATTTAACGGATATTAACAAAAATAAAATTTCGTTGTTACTTATTCAAAGTAAGTTGATAATTTTTCAGTAAGTAAAAGTTCAGTTTATTTCAGAAGCATAATGTGCCATAATTTTTGCAGTTAATTAATCTCAAAATATTAAGATTAACCAATAGAAATTGAATGGAAAGTCGTCCGATCAGTTGCCGAGTGGTTGAGACCGCTGAATAATAGTAGTTCGACTCGATTTGGTTTCGAACCCAGACAAACGGGCTGGCTGCATGGTTGCTTTTCTCCATGTATAACGTGAATCGAGCCACTTTCCATCAAAAAATTCTCTACAAAAGCATCCCTCCTATTAGGCAGATAGCTCTCCTGTTAGGCTCTGCCATATTCAGACAGCCTAACCTAACGTGAACTGGAAGTCAAATTTATGGAAATTTTAAAATGATGAGAAAATGATCTCCTTTGTTTTTCACTAAATCTTTCTTTAATACGGTGTATGATCACCTCTGCCAGAAATTCAAACCTTATATTTTGATTTCATACAATTTACCACATTGCTCATCAAGTCAATGAGAAGCTGTTTTCAGATCCTGCAGGATACGGGAATTTGGCTCACTGCAATTCCGCGGCATAATGCATTGCACTTATTCTCACTCGGGTTCATAAATAATGAGAAGCCGCCAATCCATTCGATATATTCCGTTTCCAAGTATTCTGACACCCGCAATTCCAAGTATTTGACATCTAAATACGAAATAGCATTATCTTCCCATTTTTAAAACCTCTGAGCCAACAGCACTCCTAAACAGCTTTACATGGGGTTACAAGAATTCCTCTACATGTACGGCCGTTTACAGCTATATACATCAAAAATATATAGCTCGGTGTGACCATTTTTGACGATTAAACTCCAAACCACGAAACCGCTTCCATAGAAATGGAACCCTTCAGGAACAAGAGAAGACAAGCGCATGTTTATTGTCTTTCCAAATTAAAACACTTCTAGAATCGCGGTTCAAGCTGCACCTGAATTCGTCAATAAACGGTACACGGTCTCATTCCTCTTAGCTTGATTGAAAATTCAACCTCGCAAAACCTTCGTGCAGCAGTAGAACGATTCCTGTAGACCCTGAAGGTCTAAAATTAGCTCTTTTGTAGTCGCTTCATGATTACTTCGACCCGACAATGACAAAAAACGGTCTTCAGGTGCAGTTATTACTCTTGGCCGCCGTTGGATAATCTGTTTACTGATTCGCTGCTTAACAAGCTGTTCTAAATTTTTATATGACACTTTGAAATATATTCAGACCTTTGCCTATGATTTGAGTTTATCAATTTACAAATCTACCAATTAACTGCCACTTCTACGAACAACATGAATGATGCCTTTGAATCAACTAATGAATATTGAACACTCTGAGAAACCACATTAACTTTTAGCAACACTACACACACAAATTTTGACATGCGACAATTGCGCAGCACGCTGTTAATTGCCCAATTTACATATTATCTGCGCTAACCTATGCGCAGAAGTTCAATTTTGCATTCAATTGCAGATAATTGACGGAAGTGACAACACCAGACACTGATTGAAAGCGTTAATCAGTGAACATACTTTTCACTGCTTCCCTTAAGTTTGCAAAAGCACTGCAAATCATGTCACAAAATAACTTAAACCGGGTACTTACCTGTCATTCAAATAATAATAATACGTACAAGTTCACGTCGGAAACTACTTATTGGAATTTTAAAACATGTTACCATGTTTCAAAGCTGTTTACATTTTCTCAAAATCAGTTTTCCTTTTTCTCATTTAAGTTGCTTAAAAGTACTTGTACTTCACTCGGGAATCGAAAGTTCTGAGATAAGTAGTCTGTAAATCTTCGCTTACACTGAATTAAAATCTAAAGAAAGAAATGGACTAAAAGCTATATGATTTCTAACATTAAGTAAACTTTGTTTTTCTCTCTCTAATCCTGTCACCAAGCTTTTATATTCAAAAGATTTACATAATTCTCTGTTCAAGATATTAACTTACTGTTCATTCTCCAAGGTGACAAACGAAGAAGGAAGAAAAATTGAAAGCTAAATCTTATAATGAAAATTTTGCTTTTAAATTATAACCAGAAGCAATGTACTTCTAACTAATAATTGACCTCGTTTTATCGAAAGCTTCTTAGACATTTTGAATGCTTAGTTTAATCTCAGGTGGTATTAGGGGAATACTTTAAATAAATTTGTATAGAAAGAATGAAACACAACTCTAAGCGTTATGAAAATTCATTATATTTGAAGCTGATATATACATAATTCTTTTTATTTTGAAGTTGCAAACAAAACTTTAAGACTTTACTATTCCGGAAAGTATAGGATACAATGTAATTGCTATAATATGCTGTTTGACAGTCGTTTGGCCCATTCGAAATTTACAAATGAAAGTCTGCCATCGGAAATAATACACTTATCTGGGAATTCCGTCCTAAGGCTGGAAGGTAGATCAATGAGCATGACTGAACACAGTCAGAATATAGTAACACTGATGTTTAATGAACACGCACAGATACAAATTAATTATATCAAATTATTTATTCAACTAGGATGCAGGATTGTAATTGATTGCATAGATAAGCAAGATGTGAAATATGTTACAATTAGACTTGTAGGACTGACAGCAGTAGAGAATACAATTACTGTTTCCAAAGAATTCAAAATTGAAGGTTAGATTCGGTTATTTGAATATAGCAAAATACGCGAAGGCTGTCTGCCTAAGGAAATGGGTGCCTTCATGGAGGAATTTCTAAGAGAAAGTTGCTTGAATTCACATTACACGCGCTGAAAACTGTTAAAACTAACCATTCCGCCAACCCATTTACCTGAGACTACCTACTAGCATTCAATGTTCATAAATTAAAAACTTAAAAATGATTATTTCATTAAATACAATAAATACGATATAAAAGACTAAATTTAGATAAGTGATATACAAATGTAGCTAGGTGTTATATAAGTAATAAATTAGCCTAAGCTCTGAAAGTTTCAAAAATTTGTTTGTGTATGTCGTGAAATAGTACGTTTAGTGTATAAACAAGACAGATATTATGCAACGGAGGTGTATGTCATAAAATAAATTCCAGAGTAACAGAGAGCACAACTGCTGTTTTAAAATTCAACTGCAATTTCATTTAAGATGTTGGCTAGAAAATTCGTGAGAAGGTTTACATTGCTGCTAAAAGTTTTATTTTTTTAAATGGACTCTGATCAAACCCTTTCTGTTCCATCAGATGATTGGTGTAAGTGTATTTATTCTGTTAATCACAGAATAGTCAAATGTGTAACAAATAGTCTTGTATATACTATGTTAGACTCGATGATCTATCTCGCTAAATTATGCCATATGCGCAATTTTAATACGCAGTACAGTAATAGCAGTATGTCCCTAGATAAACATCTGCCCCACTCCAAGATTTCTGAAAGTGTCTGCCATAGAAACTAATCTTTTAAACCGAGGCCAAGGCTGATGAAGTAGAACTGGAAATTGCTGTTAATGTGAGGTGCAACTTAAACAACTCACGAGAAACCTTCAGAACAAATTTCTGAAGTATATCTATCATAATTCGGGTTGTCTCGTTTGCATTACCACTAACGCACATGCGCATTGTATAAGACTTTTAGTGAAAAGAGACATGATACGGAAAATTAATTAATGCACTCGCAGTAGAAACTGAAGTTTTCTTGTCTTTTTTTTTTATTATTTTATTTTTTTTATTGTTAACTAGTAATGCTCACACAGGATAGGATTCAGCGTATTGGGGATACAAGGTAACTTTCCTGACCTGCCTTTCCAAAGGAGATCTAAACCGACTTTCAGTAACTTCTGCGACACATTGTTATAATTTCTGCATATATTAAAGATTCTTTCACTACGAGGAGCTTTGCTTGATAGACACTGATGCTATTAAATTTATTCGGGTATACATCTGAGCCAAAATTACATACCTGAATTGCAAACAGGCTGTGGGATGCATTATAGACATTTTTCTTTGTATCTGGTTCGTGTGTATGTTAGCATATAATTCTCCCTCTAAAGGAATCGTGTGTACAACTGAGAAAAGATATTGGTTGCTAGATGTAAAGGCTGTACTTCCTGTAATTATTATTCTCTGAGTAAATGCGTAAGGAGTTTTCTCCTTCCTTACCGCATGTCTTCGATGTATAGTTCGAAAGCAAGTTCAGCTGGCAAACAAAAGATTCGGAGTTCGAGACCTGGAGAGAGCGTCATTGATTTTTCATGTGCCCTACTCAATAAAAACCTAATAACCCTGCAAACGTATGCGTGATTTTAGAGTTTCAAACCTCACTTCGTCCCAGAAATTCTTGTAGCTGTGCGAATCATCGGTAAGATCCCGCTATGTAAATATTTTTGCAATTAACGAAAAAAATGCTAATGTAATATTAAAAAGTAGGCCAAAAGACCATCTTACTTTCCAATAAAACTCTATCAATTACAAATGCGATCAGACTAAATCTCCTCTTCTTTATGAGCACATTTTGTTCCTGAACTTAAGGAACAAGTGTCTGAACTATGTCTCGTGTGTCTAAAAAGTGTTGGAAGATGAACTTGTGTCAATAACAGCAGCATTTCAGAATACTAATGGAAGAAAAATATTACTCTAGGAAATTGATTTATACTAGTACAGTTGTTTTAATCGGTCATCAACCAATTCGGTTGTTCAATTAACATGACACCAGTAACCAAACAAACATCATTTGATGCAATTTTATTCAGTTTTCCCGGTACGTAAGTAAAAGTTTAAGATTTTAGGTAAAATCCGCTGAGAAACTTTGTGCATCCCATTAAAAACATCATGTGCGTGAAAAACTCCCGAAGTTGAAGTGAAGCTGCTATGCAATGAATATTACATATAAGAGGTTATAAGAGCATGGTTCTGTAAAAATAATTAATGAAAAATCATTTTATGTATATCGAAAAATACACTGGTTATCATAAATTAAGGAAAAATCACAAAAATCACGATTACTGAAAAAGTTACATGTAGAATTTAATTAAACTTACCCACAATATACAACACATAGTAAGGTATCAAATAACCTAAAAAGAAATTACCAGACAATATGGTAGTATAGAAATTAGCACATGTATAAAATGAACAAAATCGAAGGTGTCAGTTTGCTATAGGAAAAGTACCTTCAATATGGAATATGATCGCCTCTAGAAGCAACACAGCACATACAGAGATGTGTGATGCTTTCAATTATGCGGTCTATCAGTTCCATAGGAAGCGAGAGCCATTGCTCTTACAAAGCAGTTGCAAGCGCGACAAGGGTCTGAGGAGAAGGATTGAAAGCAGCTAGACGTCTCCCTAAAGCATCCCAAACGTGCTCGATAGGATTCAAGTCCGGGGATCGAGCTGGCCACTCCATGAGCATAATTGTTTCCTGTTGAAGATAATCATCTACGACGCGAGCCTTGTGTGGTCTTGCGTTGTCGTCCTGTAGCAGGAAAGCATTACCTATTGCCCCGGCATATGGGCGCACATAAACATCAAGGATGTCATCTCTATAAATCTGAGCATTCACGGTTCCCCTTGGAAAGACATGGAGGTCTATGCGTCCACCCAAAGAGATGTCCCCCCCCCAAACACAGACACTGCCCCTTCCGTATGCGTCTCTTTTACGGATGTTTGACGGATGATAACGGGTTCTAGGTTCCCTCCATATCAAATAACGCCTACTATTGCTTTCTAGACTAAACCTGGACTCATCCGTAAAGAGGACCGCCCTCCAATGATCAGGCGTCCAGTAGACATGTCATGCCCACTGAAAACGGTCCCTCTTATGGCGTGACGTGAGCGGCACACAAATGGCTGGTCGCCTCGCATACAGACCACCTTCGTGAAGCATTCTACGCACAGCTGACGTTGACACGAACCTTCCGGTGGCTGCAGCAAGGGAGGATCTAAGAAGAGTCGGAGTAGCGGTTCTATTCCTGCGTGCACATAATGTCAAATATCGGTCATCGGCACTCGTCGTAGCAGTTGGCCGTCCGTGGCTGAACCTCCTAGATGCCCAATCTGTGGTTTGAAATTACCTCCAAAGTCTATGAACCACAGAAGGACTCACATTTAGCCATCTGGCCACTTCTGTTTGACTTTGTTCTGCCTCTAGTCTCCCAATGGCTCTCCAACGCAGTTCTGCAGGCAAATTATGCCCGGAGATCATTGTTACGAATTGGCTATCTCAGATTTCTGATGTCATTGTCATAGTGAAATATGTGGGCTTGCTTTCAAACATGGACTTTTATGCTGCTCGCGGATGATGTATTCCGAAAGCAGCGCTACTAATTTGCATATCGCAGTTTTACTCAGCTACTCTTACTTGGCAACATATTCAAATTTTACACGGTTTGGCTTAATTTTGAGGGAGTTATCGCTATTTTTGTGATTTTTCTTTAATTTATGATAACCAGTGTAATAACTTTTATTTTGTTTCACTATCTTCAGAATTTTAAAATGATACAATAGTTCTGTGATATATAAAATGTGATCTAAACACACTTAGATGGAAATTACTTGAGGTATCTTGAAAATACTGCATGAACTTTAACTCCTGATCTTATGGTTGCTTCCTTAGGACTGTTATTAATTTTTAGTTATAATTTATTTTGAACGAAATCAGTTAATTTTTGTGCTTCTTATGTATCAAAATTAATTAAAGCTGTAGAGAGATTAGATATTTATCGCAGCAGAAAACTGTAAATTCAGTAATGCCCTCATCGGAATTCGAGCCTCGGACCTTCCGATTACTAGTTAGATGCGCTACCAACTCGACCTCAAAGGAAGGAGAAAATTCCTTATAAAGTCACCGCCAAGAGTCATAATTAATTTTTCTCATCCGAGCATAGGTCTTCACCCAATAGCATAGCACCATGAACAGTATAGTAATATTCTATGGAGAAAACGTATGATATGCTGCATTATTTGCATAGTCCAATATTATTCGCAAAGTGCTTTCAATGATACATTCCGCAGAACACATTTCGGCTTACAAGCAGTTATAAAAATACCAATTGCTTCCATATTTTGCTTGTTTCAATGTTAGTGATAAATTAAGTTAAATTACGTGTGATAACACTTGCAATATAAGTTAATGTTTTGATATACAGCTCCTCCAGCGGTTCTAACTTCATAATGTTTAAATTGGAGGATAAAATTAATATTTGGAACTTCTACGCTGTTTTCCTTATTAAGCCAAGTTTAAAAAACAATAAAGTGTTAAATTTTTCAAGAAAAGAATCTATGAGATTTCTAGCATGGTCTTTTAAACTTTGACGATATATAATCCTTTTCTTTGGATAAAACTCTTGGTTATGAGATCAATGAGTAGTAGGTCTATCATTTTAAGACATTTAAGTTGAAGTCGACAGAATTATTCTTGAAGGTTGCACACTGGCCTTGCTACTTTTCGATAGTGATAAAACATTGGGTTATTAATAGTGGTCACGGTAAAGTCTTTCAGTGACAATCACTGGTAATAGTACAGTAATTGTAGTGAATGCGATTCTTTTAACAACCATAAATAAACTCATTGAACTTTCTCCTTGTGAATTATGAATTGTCCTGGCTCGGACAGAGATAAGTGGACAGTAATTTCATTAATTAGTTGAAAGTAATTTCATTAATTTTATTCTCAAGTAATTAGTTTTTATGAGGTAATAGGTATACAATACGAAAATTATTTCATACGCTAAACCATTTGTATCAATGAGGGATATTTTTGAAATATTTAGGAAACAAATGCTTGCTAATCTGCATTCTAACAGCCAACGTAAAGCTCTCAAACTGAGTTGCAGTTGCTACAGAAATTTCACTTCAAAAAGATAGCTCGTAGCGATAAATGAGAATTGTTTATAAAACCGAACTTAGCTTAGCTCTTATTGTACTGTAATCTCCAAACGTCTAGCTAGGTATTACAGCTTTTGTAACGCTCTAACGTAAGTGAGTGAGTTACCCTAGAGATGTTTCATTTCAAAACTTTTTAGAGCTTTATTTGTATCTATTAATATTAAAATTAATTCTAATTATTCTAACTTTCATCCTTAAAACAAATTCTTCTTTAGGAGTATTTATGTTATATTTATCATCATGAATAAAGAAAAGGAAATATAATTTAAAATAGCAAAATAATGACGAATTTTCCCCTCTTTTTGATACAGGAAGTGTCATCGAAGATAGCGTTATAAACGAAGCAAGCATCACATGTAGTTCTAGACCAGGCACTGCGATGAGTAATTCTTCTGCAAGAACTACGAGTAGTCAACCCTCTACAATGAAAGAGAAATTATTAATTCGAGAAAATAGCCATCCTCTAATAAAACGGGATGATTTAAGTGAGTGTTCGGAAACTTCGGAAGCATCTTTATCTGGAGATTCATTAAATTCAAGTTTTAGAAAACAAGTTCGCTCACCTTCTTTGCTGGAGTCGAGAAGATCGCTTAAGAGTACAGAAGATTTGTCCATGATTTCAGGCTCAAGTGTTATAACTTCATCGACCGCTATCAAAGAAATAGAAGATTATGACGATGATGATGATGACGATGAGGACCCTGATGTCGATGAGGATGACATGACCGATATAACAACGCAGGATGATGATAGCAGATTCAGTACAGATTTGGATGCTGAAATTTACAGCTTGGACGACAGTGAGCACCCTTCTTTGGAAGAATACCTACAGCTTTCTTCTCAAGTTGCTAAAAAATTGTCTGAACGAACTGTTCCTGCCTTCAGTAATGATTCTCCAAGAGAAAAAAATGTTATTAGTCAATTTATGAAAGAATTCAAAACAACAATCGGGAGGCTGAAAATGGCCGAAGATAGCAAACTGAGATCAATGCGTACCACCTCACCAGGGGCTGATAATTGGACTCTAAAAAGGGAAGAAACGAGAGCCAAAGTAGCGCGTCGAGTTAGTATTTTTAAACGCAATCCTTTGAAAGGCAGAAAAAATGAAGAACCTTTGGTCACGGAAGATAATGGAAAAAGTTATTATGATATGAATTTAGTGAGCGAAACGGACCGTGATGCTGCTAGCAGTAGATCTTCAACTGCCTCGTCATTGAGTAGCAAAAGATCAAAGTACAAAAGCAAAACTCCAGAGATAGTCCCCTCTGCTAAAGTAGTTGATTTCACTGGTGATAAAACAATAATCTCAATCACGAATGATACAAAGGGGTCAATTGGATTACCGGAAAGGAGGTAAAGTATCTAAATGTATTTACAGTATTTATGTTCATTTATGCATATTTTAACAGCATAGTTTTGTATCTTTATATTATATAATAATATACAGGAATCATTATGCATCTTTCAAATTTATATAAAATTTGACTCTTCTATACCTGACCTGATACTCAACTACGCTGTGCGTAATAAAACACAGATATGGAGCAACAAAGTGGTTTTGAAAGAAAAGCTAGTAATAAACTAAAATGTCACACTGTGCTAAAAATATCGAAATTAAAATTAAATTTTTCATCCGTATAAGATCCGTTACCTAAACTAGACCGAAAATTTCAGCTTGCCCCAGAAAAGATTTAGTCAAGCAAATGACACTAAGGATGCGGCACTTTGGTTGAAATGATGTTTCGCAGCCTATCCCGGCTATCTTAGTTTAAAATACATCAAGTCAATTATTTTATAAGAGCTGTTGCACTTGTTACCATACAGCCAAAATGAAATTTTAGAAGTTTAATAATACAGTAAGGCATGACTTTTTAATTTAAAACGTTATTATTTTTCCGAGTTCTTTGGCTGCGCCTTTGATGTAAATAAACAAAATACGCAAAAATTATGGTACATTCCACTATTTATATCGTTAAAACCTTGAGAACCGGTGTTCCCCTTTTCTCAAATTTAATCATACTCCTAGCATATTCTGTAGCATAAACAAACAAAATTCATTTTTTCCAATAAAATGTCTTTTATCCTGTATAGTTCAATAGTTACCCGTATACGGTATTTTAGTGAAATACTTTCACATAACTTATGGGTTTACATAACAACTTTCTCTCAGCTTCAGTCTGGAGAAAGTATTTGCAAATATTATCTGTCAGGAACTAGAGAAGTATAACCAACTCCCCAGGGGGTGTTGATTCTAAATAAACTGTCCGAAATTTCTACTAGCCCTGTTTTATTGAATCTCACAGCCATAGTTTATTCCGGATCTGAACCACCAAACAGTTAATTTTTATGAGCAGCGGAGATGATTTTAGTAAACGGCGTTTTATCTTCTAATTACTACATATTCGTTTTGGTTCTTGGAAAATTGAACTCAATAAGCCGCCAAGTTTATCAACCAGTTTTAATAAGCGGTGGCTACTGTATATATCTATGACCAACGGTTATGAAAATAAAAGCCGCGTAATGACTTTTGTAATTGAAATTGAAATTGTATATTGAAAGGTACACCTAGAACATATAAGCCTAACGCAGTTACAATGGAATATTATTTTATGCCGTAGATAAAGTAATGGCAGAACGATATAAATTTCGCAAAAGAGTACAACTGAAAGGAGAATCAATCGACCGTTATAATTCTACAATACATCAATTATTATTAACCTGTAATTTTGGCTAGATTATAAATGAAATGAATCAGATCAAATATATTGAAAACATTTACTCCCCTCTCATCTGCAAAATGTTATTGCTTGAATAGGATTAAACGTGGGAAAAGGCTTGTGAATTAGAAGTACATATGGAATCATTTATAGGGAAATACGTATTCTTTAGAACTTTAGTTAATGCAAAATATGTTAATTTAATCTGAAATACTGAAAGAAATGTAATGAACCTTATTAGTTTTGAGGGTATAGATGAGAAAATAAGATGATGAAATGCTATCCCCATGGTTCATTTAGCTAATAATCCTTTCTTCAAGGTTAAAAAATGAATAGTAATTCGTGTTGAAAATTAGTTCAATGTTCTGAAATGCGTATTCGTTAAAGAGAATTGATGAAATTACTATTCCTGAAGCACATATATATGGATTAAATTAAAATTTTAATAATTGTATATTCAATAAAACGTATCCTTTTCTGTTTTTAAAAAAGTACTGCCGGTAGTAGAAACTTTATTGTCTATTGTAACTAGCTTATGAAAATGATATTGCAGAAGCCAAAATGTTTATTTGAAACGGAGACGTATAATGATAACATATTCAACTAGCGCACTTAAGAAGCTTCGAACTGAGAGTAATTTAATTAATTCCACTGCGCAGAGAGAACAAGATGTTAATCATAATCATATATGATCATACGTTTTAAAATACGATCAAACGTAAAGCCAGTAATAAAGTAAAATTAAAAAGGTTATCGGTATTAATTTAAAATGAAGTCACTAAAAAAATAAATTAGAAGCTGAATGAATCATCCAAAGAATAGATTCATCAGAGTAGGTTTTGGCTAAAGTAGTAGCCAGATACAAAAGTAAAAAGTATTATATTTTGTGTAGATTCAGGGCATACCAAATTAAATGTATACTATCGATTTGTTTTTATCCTCTGCCCCTTATTTATGATATTGTGATCAATTTTTAAAAAGTTGCGATATTTTTTCATTAAGTAGACATCATCAAGTAAAATTACATTAACAGGGTAGAGATTCCACAAGTTTGTATTTCTTTTGGCTTTAAGCTCAGCCTCTGATTCTTTTCATGCAGATCATATCATTAATTTTAAAAGGTTTTTAAGAAGTGCAATGTTATTTGAATGCCATAACTGTGTCTGGTAAGACAACAAAAGAATATTATTTCGATAATGCTCTTATACAAACTGATACAGCAGGTGTCAATAAATACTGACATATGTCTATTTCGAAGGAATACGCTCAAATTTTAGGTTACACATTCTGTTAAAAGTCTTAAGCCAATAAAAAGTTAGTGGTGCTTCTTCCTATACATATCTAAGAGCATGGGATCGTTTTACAGCAAATCTGTACCACATTTTGCTACAGTGTTAGAAACTTTAAGTTTTAAAAGAATGTAGAAATAACCGCGTATCCGAGGGCAATTCGTTCCAGGACACACCGCGGATAATAGCGAACGTATGTAAAACAGGATATTCCTGCAACATACATAAATACGGTAAAACTTAACTGATGACTTCTGCTCAGTATCAATAAGTGTCAATAAAAAAGTACTGTGCTACTTCACTTATTGTTTGGTTAATAAAGTACTGCAAAATTTACTCTCAAATGCTTTATGGAAAATTACTAATATACTTTCTCAAATATGAGAATTTTTAGCTTCTAAGGCATCTTTTAAATCAAAAATCATAACTACTCTATAATTTTAATGCTCTGCTTGGTTTATTTCAAATTGGGTACCTTTTATTTTAATAGTTAACTATGTTAAATTCTGTTGCTGATTTCCATTTACGTAACTTTCTGTGAGGATTCGGAAAGGGGTATAAAGAGACGGTTATTAATATTTTTGTATTTAATAGGTAATTGAATTATTATAAAATGTAAGGAAATAATTCTTTTAATACTTATGAAAAACTTTTTGACTCCATAAGTACACATCTGATACATTGTGCTTTACAGCACTTCTAATATTTTTTCCAGTAGTACAAATAATTCTTGTTTAAACAGTTTTATAAATATATTTGTCAACAGAATTTAAATTTATGTTTACAGTTAAATATTAAGGTCAAAATATATTTAGATAATATTTATAATCATTACATAAATTTCGATATATTCAATAACTAGATTTATTCAGACCACTCTTTGAAGACGTTAACGATAAATAAATCTTTCACTTCCAAATACATTTATATACAATTTAATAAATATTTACAAATTTAATTAAAAGCAAACGCATGTTTTTAAATACTCATATATATTTAATACTTTTCACTTTCGGGACGGGAAAAATCTTCATTTTCTGTGCATTCACTATTTTTCTTGAGTAATTTTCAATAATTATGCACATATCAGAATTTTTATGTAAGTATGCATAAATATAAATCGAGTGAAAATTACACGTGATATCTTTAACACACACACAGGAAATTAATTTTCCTCAAAAAGACTTCCAGAAAGTCACCTCTTCCTTTAGGAAAATAGGCACTGCACGCTTTATCCTGTTAAAAAAGCTTAACCTAACTTTATTTTAACATGCGTAATTGTATATTTACATTTAGCATTCAAGTGGCCAACTTTTGATTTGAAACACATTTTTTGATATATTCATCATCAAAATCAAATTTTCTAGAATTATGTATTTTGGCAGACCACTGAATACCAATCATAACAATTTTACATAATTGTTCTATAATAATATAATAAGCAATTACCCATTCACATTTAAACATTAATCTCATTGTCATCAGATCACAATCTTGATCTGCATAAACAACTATGCTTCAGTTTTAAATATTTTAAACAACTAACTGATTTAAATTTGCAAATATCTGAAATTTACAAACTGCAAGAGATTACAAAATTTATTGCAATTTTGCATATTCAATATATCTTGTATATTGTCTTTTATCACGTCTTGAAATTGCTTTAAAATTAACACTGCTCAATTTCTCCTCCTTTTTTTTTAGGCATTAGTGACCCAAAGTTATCGTTTTACAAATATACAAACCCTAAGTGAGTTTAAAATGAGTACATATTACGTCTGTCTCCTGAAAGTTTTAGAAATTACTTTAAATTTTATGTTAAAAAATAATTAATTAATTTTGAAAAAAGCTAAAAACTGTGATTTGTTTATCCATAATGCTGAGACCAGTGCATATTAAAATGAGACGTGGATGACAACTATGTATTTTAAAATATCTTAATATTCGGAACATAAAATAAAAGAAGCAAACTCACTATACAGCATATGGAAAAAAAGTAAACAAACTTTTACGCTTCTAGCAGTTAGTTGTAAAGAAATTCAGCTTTAAAATGTGCTATATTTTTGCAATATATATTTTTTGACATTTTAAAGGTACCTTACGGTAGTTATCATTCTTTACGTTTAACATAAGCATTTTCCGAAAATCAATATTTGTGCAGTTCAGTAGCTTAAAATTTTATAAAACAAATTAATAATCAAAGTCACTGTTGCAAGTTATCAAAAGATAATCAAAATATTCTTTGTACGCAACTCACTAAACTATGCAAACTGCTATTACCCGCCTAGCAATGAATGTTTCTTTGTGCGAAAGCATCTTTGCTTTTTGATTTGTGTGGAATTCTCATGTGC